AAAAAAAAAAAAAAAAAAAAAAAAAAAAAAAAAAAAAAAAAAAAAAAAAAAAAAAAAAAAGTAAAACAAAATTCTGCATTTATATAAAACTTGATAAAAAATAGTATTTTAAACTGTACAGTCACCAGAATTACACAGTTATCAAAAATGCACACACTTCACTTGGCATCTTCAGCACCTTCGGCTTTCTGTGCCTGGTCTGTTTTGGCATCTCCATTTTCTGCAGGGTTATTCCCTTCGTTGCCAGCATCAGCTTTTCCCTTTTTCCCTTTGGGTACCTTCTCTCCCTTCTTTGCAGGGGCCTTTTTAGGCTTGGGCTCTGGCTTTGGAGGAGCAGGTTTAGCAGACAACCTCGCGGATCTTCTCTGTGGTTCGTCCTTCACCTTGGCTTTATCTCCTTTAGCATCCCCTTCAGCCTTTCTCTTGGGCATGGTGGCGACGGCGGCGGGACGTAGGCGCTGAGCGCGGGATGCAGCGGCGCGTGGGCTTTGGTCGGTCCGGGGGTCGCTCTCGCCTCTTCTTCTTCACACTGCCCCGGCTCCGGGGGGTTTATATTGGCAGTTCTTGATATGGCAAACTTTCTATAATATACTAGATGCCTGTTAGCATGTTGATTACCCTAGACACTGGTTACAAAAAGGATTGAGAATCTTCAGAAAGCAGCACCATTTGTAGATCACTGAATGCTGTAATCACCATCTTTGCATTAAACACAGAATTGGTTCTGATAAAATAATTTACTTTTCAGCCAAAGGAAGTAAAGCAATGATCTGACACCTATATGTTTCATTGTTGTTTCCATGTACCACATCATCAGAAGCAGCTGACATTGCAGAATGATGGAATGGTCTGTCCTATTATTATAATATTACAGTGTGGTGGAAATGATGCCATCTGACAGGCAATGCCCTGCAAGGCTGTGCGATCCACCTATGGGATGAAACACATGTTTTAAATTAGTGACCATGTACAGAGTGTTGTTTCTCCCACAGACGGAATATGTAGACCGGAAAATATTTCACCTGATGAGCCACTGACAAAATGTTTGCCTTCATCCCAGGACTATAGATGAACTGATGATTCGAGATCTATGTATTAAACAGAGACATGTTTCTACCAAGGAACACAGTAATGGTTTTATTGTACTAGAGACTAAGATGAAGGCTTCTTGGAGTCCTCATATTACTGGATCAATAGGAAAGAAAGGGAGAGTAATTTTACTTGTGAGAGAGAATAAGAATGATGCCACAAAAGTGGTACAAAGAAAAATACGTCTTAGACACTGAATCCTTTCTGTTATAGCAGGCAGGATAAAATCCAAGAATCGTCTAAAAATAGCAAATACGTTTGTATTATGCAAAGCTATGTTACTGTTATTTTACTTTTATTTTTATGAGTATATAGTATGTATATATATATTTACGGAGTACATGAGATATTTTGATACATTTATACAATACATAATAATTATATCAGAATAAATGAGGTATTATCGCTTTTTAAGTGTAAATGTGGGAAGGAATGTGCATTTCAAAATTGAGGAACAAAAGGTATGTACTCTGTTGGTTACTTTACTCGACACCCATTCTAGACACTTCTAATTTGTTTCCTTCTACTAAAGAGACTTTTTGTAAAAGCAAGCAATACGTTTATGGGATTATTGTTAAGCCTAGGGGCAAATATACCCTTCTGATATTTGGATGTAGAAGGTAACAGCCAGAGATCACTGCTGGAGGTTTGAAACTTCTTGTAAGCATGATAATAGAAGTACCTATTCTCTCTGAGTTTCTCTGTGAACATCTACTTTCTAAATCCATGGCTGTCAAATAGTATATGGTGATAATACTGACGTTTTTTATTCTCACAATCTTGTGGTATTATGGGCTATTTTTTCTGACTGTGCTGCCCTGGGCTACGTAGCTCCTGGTTGTGTAAATGCATCATCAGAAAGCTTTGTAAGAAAAATTAAGGGCACTTGATAATCCCATAGATTAATGCAAAAGGTTAAATGAAGAAGACAATAATGCTAAGGTGGTGAAGGGATCTAACTAAATCAGTACATAGTGTTAAGACCTTGTATTCCTGTAGCTCAGAAAGGAAGGACACAATGAAGCTAAACAGCTTTTGTAGTGTTCTGAGTTTACCGAAAAATTCAGCCATTAGTTATGTATGTGAATAGTTTCAGAGCCAAATTATTCTGTTATGCTATAAATATTCAGTCTGTCCTAGTTATTGACTATATTAAATCAATAGGATATATACACATATATCTCTATATATCCTATTTTATAAAAACATATAAAACTGGAGAAAGAACAAAATTAATTAATTAATTAATTAATTAATTTTTTGAGATGGAGTTTCACTCCTGTTGCCCAGGCTGGAGTTCAATGGTATCACTTTGGCTCACTGCAACCTCCGCCTCCTAGGTTCAAGCAATTCTCCTGCCTCAGCTTCCCAAATAGCTGGGATTACAGGTGCCCACCACCATACACAGCTAATTTTTTTAATTTTTAGCCGAGATGGGGTTTTACCATGTTGGTCAGCTTGGTCTTGAACTCCTGACCTCAGGTAATCCACCTGACTTGGCCTCCCAAAAAGCTGGGATTACAGGAATGAGATCTGTTTTAGGGGGTTAGCTCATAGGATTGTTGGCACTGTCAACTCCTAAATATTCAGGGCAAGCCAGCAGGCTGTAAATTCAGGTAAGAGCTAAAGGTGAAGTCTTGAGTTGAAAGTCTCCAGAGCAAGCCAGGCAGACTGGAATCTCAGGGAGCAGTTCTGTGTTGCAGTGTTGAATCTGAATTTCTTTCTCCTCAGGAAACTGATGTCTTTGCCCTTAAGGCTTTCAACTGATTGGATGAGGCCCATCCACATTACGGAAGGTAATCTGCTTTACTCATAGTGTATAACTTAAATGTTAATCACATTTGGAAAACACCTTCACAGCAACATCCAGACTGGTATTTGATGAAACAACAAGGTACCACAGCCTATCCAAGTTAGCACGTATAATTAAAGCATCACAATTGTCCATTAGGTGCCTAGTCCCACAGTACTGAGTAAAAAATATTGTACTAAATTACGTTGGGATTCAAACTCTGTTCATTATACCTTATATGCTAAAATTGTTTAAGGCTAAGGTATAGATATTTATTTTTATCATTAGGAGAGAATTTATTTTAAAAGTGTCATCTTAAACTGCAAGGATATCTGTCAAATATCACAACTAAACATGCCGCAGGGGAAGCCATGTTGTGAAAATGCCCACTTAACTACCCAAACATCTCAAACACACCCTTTGCTGACCTTCCATAATCCCATTTATTGAAGTTTTTTTTTTTTCTTATTTTAAACAAGAGAAAGTAGACAGATACAAGTTTGTAAATGCTAACTGTTCATATGTTTTCTGCGGCTCAGCTCTCTTCCCAGTTTGTTGTGCCCGAGGTTCTTGGCCTCTCTTTGCCCCAAGAATGGGGAAGAGGCCCTGGTGGTGCGGTGAACTTACCATTCAAGTACTGTAGATATCGGGCTCAAAGAGTCTGGCAGAAAGCTATTTATTAGGCAGAGAGAGAGAGAGAGAAAGAGAAAGAGAGAGAGAGAGAGAGAGAGAGTTCCCATGCTGCTGTGGGAGGGGAATCCGAGGGGATATCCCTACAGGGAGGGAGGGAAAGACAGCTCCCGCATTGTTGTGGGAGGGAATCCCAGAGAGGGAAATCTGCACAGGTAAAGGGCAGGGGGATTTTAATCCTGGATTTATTCCCACCCCATTCATGTTCTGTTCAATTAGAGGAGTTCTTTCTAACTTCCTCTGGAGTGAACTGATCTTCGACTCTGAACCCAGATTGGTTGCTTGGGCTCACAACAGAACCTCTCTTTCCCTGGCTTTTTGCGGATTTTCCAACACAACAGCTCACCTGGAATTTCTACCTAGCCCATGTGAGGGGAATTTAAAAAAGGAACTTTACATTCCTGGATGGGGGCGTGGATGGAGGTACGGCGTTGGGAAATTCCTGCGTTTGAAACACAGGCAATTTTCCTTAACACAGTCCCTCACATATTCACACAGAGACACAAAGATATCTTATATCTCCAACTAGAAAGTGTTGGTCTATCCTTGTGTTGCTACCTGAGGCTGCATAATTTACAAAGAATAGAAGTTAAATTAACTCATGGTTCTGCAGGCTGTATAGGAAATGTGGTACCAGTGTTTTCTTCTTGTGAAGGCCTCAGGGAGCTTATAATCACAGGGAAGACATTACATGGCAGGTATCATATGGCTAACGGGAATAAGAGGGGGCATTCCACACTCTTTTAAACAACCAGATCTCACGTGGACAGAGTGAGAACTCTCTTATTACTGCAAGGCTGGCTCCAAGACATTCTTGAGGAATCTGCGACCATGACCCAAACACCTTTATATAGTTTGGGTATTTATTTGTTGCTACCTAAATACCATGTTGAATTATAATTCCCAGTGCTGCAGGTTGGTCTTGTGGGAGGTGTTTGGGTCCTGGGGCCACTCATGGCTTGGTGCTGTATTCATAACAGTGAGTTCACATAAGATCTGGTCATTTAAAAAATGTGTGTCACCTCTCCCCAGGCCCGCACCCACCTCTGTCTCTCTGGCTCCTGTTTTTGCCATGTGATGTGCCGGTACTCCTTTTTGCCTTCTGCTGTGATTGGAAGCTTCCTGAGGCCTTCCCAGAAGCAGATGCCACTATGCTCCCTGTACAGTCTGCAGAACCATGAGCCAATTAAACGTCTTTTCTTATAAATTACCCAGTCACAGGTATTTGTCAATAGCAGTACTAGAACAGACTAATCCAGCCAGGTTTTACCTTTAACACTGGGGAGCACATATCAACATGAGATTTGGAGGGGACATCCAAACATATTGAGTCAGATCTGTATCCTACAATTTGGCTAGATAAAATAGAACTTAGATTTTTGTGTTTCAGCCACTGATGAAGTTAATAGGTTAGCCTGTTGGAATGTAAAATATGAATACTAGCACTCAAAACTTTATCAAGTAAAGCAATCAAAATGAAAATTCTTTTCTCAATTCTATGTTAGGAAAGTCTTAGAGTTTACTGGCAGACAGTCTTCTACTTCTGTACTGAAATTATTTTGGAATACTATATGGTTTATCATGTGATACCCTAGATGTTTCTTTCAGAAAAACAAACTCCCTTAAAAACAAACTCACTTAACCTTATAAAAATAAGCTAGGGCAGGGTGACCCATCTTTATTGAATAACTTCTTACATTGTGTATTTAAGAAATAGGATAGCTCTTATAACGTAAACTATTAAAATATAGAGAATTCCAAAGATATCTAAATATTTCTAATATATCTGCTTTTATTGGGTGAAGGAGTGAAGTTTTGGTGCTTCCTGGCATCTTTCTGGGAAGTGATAAGGATGAATTGGGTGCGAAAGACTCATAAGGAGTTTTATAATTTTTAATTTAGTGTCTTATGTAGGATGACATCAAAAGGACGTTTATGAGTGACTATTTAGCTCATTAAACTCGAGTAAAAGTGCATGAAAACCAGAGA